GTACTTTCTTAATTTATTTATTTTATTAAACTAAGGTGATTACAAAAAGTAATATTTATTTTAAATACCCTCAAGTCTCAACTATTTGACAATGAACACTCAATCACCCTACTACAATCACTGGTGCTTGAACCCGTGACCTCTAAAACAACTATGATTCTTTCAACCACTAAGGTAAGTTGGTTTGTGATACTTTCTTAATTTATTAAAAAATATATTTTCTCGATTGAGATGTAAGTTAAATGACACCGGTCTAAACGAGATGCTTCAAAAATATATATTAAAAGTGTGAATAATTTCATTTATAAAAATGATACTATCAAATGATTTCATGTGAATAAATGGTATATTATTCTTGTGTTTGTATGATGTGTATGTGTTGTCAATGATTAAGAAAGATTATAAATGAATATTATTTTATAATAATCTAAAATTAATTATTAGAAAATTATGATATCCGATTACTTTTCAATCATTTAACGTGGCTCTTAAATCAATAACACAAATGGGCGAACCAGCTGATAACGATGGCTCATTGGCTCCTACAAGTTACACTATTGTTTTGAGACAGAGAGTTAAGAGTTGGAGGGGTATTTTATTTACTAATGAATAAATATTGATGATATGATATGGTTGAAATGAAAATTTTGTATTCTTGTAGGGTGATTTTGGCACTGCATATCGTAGATTGTCAGTGTCGCATAGGGACCCAGGCGGTAATATTGGAATTTTTTTTACGTAAGGCAATCACATAGAAAGAGGAAAAGTCCCAATTGACGCAACTTGCATGGGTCTGTCAAAGTTCTTCCAATTATCATAGTCCACGTGTACAAGTGGGTCGAACTCAGTCCTCCGTTTGTCCCTTCACGGGTGTGCTTGAAAGGCATACCGTGAAAGTGCGGTCACAATGGACCTTATATCAGAACCGTTGACTAAAAGGAAGACGATTGATCTTATCTTCCACGCGTAGGGTGTTGATTTGCCTCGTGGGGTGATGGCCACGGATTCTTAAAGGGGGCAGGCATTTCTCAATCATTTAGTGTGGGGCCTCCCTCTCTTTTCTATCTATAGAATATTTAATTTCTTAATATTCCACTCGTGAATCATTGGGTACGCTGGGGTTATATAATTCAAGGGTTTAGCACTCTTGTTTGGAAAAAGAAGTCTTTGGAGAAATAATTGTTTCTTTTTTTGTTTTTAATGAGAACTTGATAGTGTTCTAAACAATAAAATATTTAAAACTACCTGTATAAAAAAACATTTATAATGTATTTTCAAACGAATATTCGTTTGAGAATTGGAAAAACATTTATGCAATTCTTTTGCATTTTATTTTTGTCATATATCATTTAGGAGGGTCTCAACTCATGACATTGCATAAAATTCTTTTGACTAATAGGGTAACTGTTATACTACTATTCATCACATATCCAAACCTATAACTAAATTAAATCAAAAACTAAAATTTTAAATTGATTTTCGACATTGTTCACCTTTTTTATGCTCTTTTTTTTAGTTTTGAATCAAAACGGTGCTTAAGATATATTGTTTTCGTTGCGTTTGCGTTTAAAACTCCCCATTCAAAGTCAATTGCATTAAGCAAAAAATATACTCAAAAACAAAGGTTGTTTTCAATACAAATATACTCAAGAATTCATTTTTGAGAACAAATTTATTCAACACTAAAATTTAATTTTCTAATGCGAGTGTACACACTACACCAAAACAAGTCTTTAACGGTGTTTTTAGTGGCTTTTTTTTTAAAAAAGAAAATGCCATTAATTTTTTACATAACGCAGCGTTTATGGATAAAACGTCACAAAATAAAAATATTAACAGCGTTTACGGGAATGTGCCGCGATACTCATCTACCTTTAGTGGTGTTTTTAACAGAGATGCTGCAATAGACAAACGTAATGTGGCATTTGTGGGTAAACACCACTACCTTGCGTACTTCAGTGGCCTTTTATAGAAAACACCGCAATTTCATCATACGTTAGTGGCGTTTGTTTAAAAAATGCCGCAATTGTCCAGTCATTTAACCAACCCAGTTTCACATCCCTAATTTTTTTCATTGCCATTTTTCTAATTTTCCTACCCTAACATGGAGCCACAATGAAAGCCACCACCAGCGCAACATCACGCCACCGCCGTCAACTTCTAGTTTTTTTTTTAATTAGCTGACCCTATTCCCATATGTAATGGGATAAGGGGAGGTAGGATAGTAGCCTGCCCTCAATGCCAGGTTGAGAGCAGTTTCCGTGGGAGACCTCCGCCAGTCAGAATTATGAATTGTCCACCGTGGGACTCAATCCCACGACCACAAGGTTAAGAGCCTTGCGCTCTTACCAACTGAGCTGGACGGGCAATTCCGCCGCCAACTTCTAGTATGTCTCTTTTCTCCGTCGCACTTTACCTTTTTGTTGATTCAGGAAATATTTTGCATTAAACAAAATTTTATTTTCATTGCCATCGGAATTAGACTTCAGATTCATCTGTCCATTCCGCTTTCGGCTTCTTCATCAAATCTAACGAGTTTACTCTAGTTGTTAAACTACAATACATCAGGTATGTCTCGCTTCTTGATTTTTGTTTTCATATGCTATTTTGTTCAATTCTGCTGCATCGTTGTAATTCATCGCCTTAAGTTGTCTGAAACACTGCCCTTCCTCTTTTGACTTCTTGATCAATTCGTTCAGCTTCTATAACTGTAAATTAAGGGTAATATATATAAAAGTTACATTGTTTTTTACTGTTGGATTAAGAAAGTATTTAAGTACTTTTTTAAGGGTAAAAAAGATGGTTCTCTTATGACTCCTGAAGCTGTAGAAATTATGGTATATTTACTAGAAATAAAATTTGTATTATGTTATATAACATTTTTATTTTAAATAATGTTTAAATTAGTTCTAAATTCTTAATTGATTACTAAGAAAAATTGAGTGATAAAAGGGTATAGTATGAAGCTATGGTTTCATCTCATGGTTCTATTAATGTGGACGAGATAGAAAGTCAAGTTATTACTAAAGTTTTCAGTCCTGAAAGATATGGTTGAGTTTGCTATCAAGGATCATTCGTTATCCCGACCAAATATTTTAGATCCAGTTCGTCTCAGTATATGTCATCGTACATCCAGTCTTCTCAGTCAGAAATTAATTGATTAAAAGAACAATCGACTCAAGTGGGTGAAAATTTTATTCAAATGAAGGCCGAAGCTGAAGCGAGAAAAGCATAGAGAAAAACGAGTGAAGCAACATATTAGAAAAAAATATGAATAACTTCAAAATCAACTTGAAATTATGAAGCAGATGATGAATCAAGCGCAAAATTCACTACCCTAGGCGATTTCTTAGGTTCATGCTTTGTTTATTCTAGTGGTTAAACTACATTACATTTCACTTGAATGTTTGTAAACTTTGGTTTATGTATGTTGTTAAGTATTTTTACTTTATTCGAGTCATAATTAAATTTCAAATTTGTTATTAGATATTGTTACAGGATATTTTAAATTTGGGTAGTAAAGTGCAGAAAACAATATTTACAAATCAATTTTGATTAGTGACGTTTTAGGATGAAAAACAACACTAAAGGAGTATACATTTGTGGTGTCTTTAGCTAAAACCCACCGCTATATGGCCTAAACAATTTTTGTGTGCAACCAGTGCATTCATATCTTAATTAGAAGTTCCAAGATGGATTTTTTTGTCTTACATAGATAGAACAAAAAATATTACCCTAAAGCCCAAAACACCGCTAACTAATCTAATCTTTTGCGGCATTTTTTGTTTCACAAACGCCACTAATAGTTGTAATGTTTGTTTTAGTGATGCTTCTTGTTGTATTTTTTCACGTTGAGAGACTTTTTAGCGCTTTTAAACGTCACTATAAGTCTAAAAATGCGGCTATTGATATGTCTGCTGTAATGACAGTGTGCATCTTTTATGTATATAAATTGTTAAAGGTGGTTTTATAAATTAATAAATTATCTAATTTAACAATTTAAAATGTGAGAATAGCCATGCAAATATCTTAATATTAGGTGATTATAAGGTAATATTTGTTTAGAATATTTCTTAGTTACACATACCATATAGATATAATAATGTGATATTTATCACAGTTAAATTATAATAATGTTAGTTTATCAACAAATTATATATATTTTTAGGTTAATGTGATATTTATCCTTAAACGTAGACAAATAATGTTTGTTTCATATCTATCATTTATATGAATTCTTCTCTTGGGTTTTATTCTTGTTCTTATATAGTTCCTTTTATTTATAAGCAGTTAATTTGTACATTTTAAAATATTAAAAATATTTAATTTATATAATTATTTTTTAAAAATTCTTCTTATAATTTTAAATATTTTCTCTTAGTAAAATTAACTAATATTATTAGTTTAGAAAATACTTTTATAGTGATAAAAATAATAAAGTTAAAGGTTAATTTCATTAGAAAAAAGAAAAACTTCACCTAAATAGTTCCATTCAGAAAGCCAGTCCCAATCCTAAGAATCCAGTTAAGTTAGGAATCTAGAGTTTGGTCCACACTTTTCCACTTATTAACCTCTAATACCTAAGGGGTTATTAATACTTATTTTTACTAAATAAGAAATTGGTGTAGCATGCAGAATTGTCAGAGAATGAAGCCAAGTCCTTCACAGTATATATATATATATACAAATAGTAAACTATAGTCATGGTCATGAAACTAAAAAAAGAAGGTAGAATTGAAAGCAAGAGGGAAATGGATTTTACTTTTAGCCATGCCTCTTATATATATTTAATCAATGGATCAATCATTTCACTGTAAATGTGAAAAAGGTCTACTACCCCATGATCATGATGTCAATATATATAGTATAACACCTCCCTTTTGCTTCCTACTAAGCAAATAACCAAATTTGAAATCCTCAATAAATTAAAAGATGTTATTTTTAATAATTTATCAAGCATAATTTATTATTATTATTATTATTATTGTAAGGAGTGTGAAGGGAAAAGACAGAAAGAAGAACATCAGAGGGTTCCCCACCCCTTTGGCTTGTGGTTTTGGGTTCTTGTTTTCGGACAGCTTTGAGGATTAAAGAGGGATTTCATCTCATCCACATCTCTTTCTCTGTCTCTCCCTCTCTTTGTCTCAGTTTCGTGAGTTGATCAGGTTCAATTCTTGTGTGGTTATTGTTAGATTATTTTTTATTAAAAGCATGAAGCTTAAAAGCGGACAGAGATGGAGGATCTGCTTGAGCTCTATATCTGGTTATATATATACATGAGTTATAATATATTACCTGCTCTATTTGTTTCTTCTTAAAGTATTTCTAAACAACAAAACACCCATTGTCTCTTGGGTTGAATACAATACGATGATTATCGTATGTATTCATTCATATATGTTAAGCCTAGCTAATCAAGTATCAATTTCTTTCTCTTTTATCATTTAGTTTTGGTTTTTTTTTTTCTCTTTGGATTTTCTTTTTGTACCCTACTATTTTTTTTGTGTGTGTGTTTAAAACCAAGATCCATGACGCATGATGCCAATTCTGGAGGTCTGGTTCATTGGTTCATGCAGTAGAAGATGATAAAAGGCTTATTATTCCAACCACCAACAGCAACAAGAACGAGTTTTTGAAGAGAATATGTCGAATTTGACTTCGGCTTCTGCATCTGGTGAAGCCAGTGGTTCATCCGGTAATAGAATTGAAGCTGGTTCCAATTATCCTCAACAAAACTTCACCACTCAACAACCTCAAGCTCTGCCGGCCAAGAAGAAGAGAAACCTACCAGGCAACCCAGGTTTGGGTTTTTTTTATGTACTTGTTTTGTTTGTCTCCTTTTCATTTTTTTATGCATTTTTTTGGTGGGTTTTTTATTTCTTGGAACCAGACCCGGGTGCAGAAGTGATAGCTTTGTCTCCTAAAACACTCATGGCGACTAATAGATTCGTGTGTGAGATCTGCAACAAAGGGTTTCAAAGAGACCAGAACCTTCAGCTTCATAGAAGAGGACATAATCTGCCATGGAAGTTAAAGCAACGAACAAGCAAAGAGGTGAGGAAGAAGGTATACGTGTGTCCGGAAGCAAATTGCGTTCACCATGATCCGTCGAGAGCGCTCGGAGACTTGACTGGAATCAAGAAGCACTTCTCGAGGAAACATGGCGAAAAGAAGTGGAAATGCGAAAAGTGTTCGAAGAAGTATGCAGTTCAATCGGATTGGAAGGCTCATTCCAAGATTTGTGGCACTAGAGAATATAGATGTGATTGTGGAACCCTCTTCTCAAGGTATAATAAATAACTAAACCCTTCATCCTCCCCATGAACACAATAGTGATATTCATTGAAGCACAACAACAATAATCAAATCTTCATTTACTGTGACGTGCACTCAAGTATAGCTTTGAAACGAAAACGGTTCTCATGGATAAACTTTTAAACTGAAGAATTAATAGCAAATATATACATCTGGCAGTTCCTAGTTTTCACACCCTAGAGAGTAGAGAGAGAGAGAGAAAGAGAGAGAGAGATGGAAAGAATATACATGGAATTAAATTTTATTTTCTGCACTAGCGCGAGTGGACAGTTTGTCCTATCCTTTCAAAGAGGGAGAAAAAATTAAAATGAATGGGATGCAGGAAAGAGGGAGAGAAAAGTATTTCTGCCATTGTCACAGCACTTTATGATCACTGGTTTAGTTTTTGTTTTGTTGTGTTTATTTTTTAAAACCTTTGTTTTTTTCTTCTTCTCCAGGAGGGATAGTTTCATCACTCATAGAGCATTCTGCGAAGCTTTGGCAGTGGAGAATGCACGACCCAACCCGTTTCTTTTCGGTCATCAGCAAGGTGAAGCCTCGTCTCACATTAATTTACAAACGCCCCAGTTCAATCCCCATGCATTTTCACTTAAGAAAGAGCAGCAAAGTTTCACTCCTCTAAGGGCAGAGATTCCTCCATGGCTGGCCAGCCAAGCAATGCTCGGGGCTGGTCCTGGCCCACAGCACCCTATAGACCTTTCCTCCTCATCATCGTCAATATTCTCCTCGAGATTAGATCATCAAGATTTAACGCTACATGGGAACCCCAGCCCTAACCCTAGTCTTGTCCCCACTCTCCCTCCTCCTCCATACCATGAAACGACAGTGCCTTCCCCTCACATGTCAGCCACTGCATTGCTTCAGAAAGCAGCTCATATGGGTTCGACCGTGAGCGTTAAAATTGGGTCACCAACAGTACCGGCCTCGTTGATTAGACCCCACCAACCGACTCACGTGTCTGCTGGTTCTGCAGGCACTAACAACAACACAACAACAGCTGGTTTTGGACTCGACTTGCCTTCACGTGAACAAGAACTCCATGTGGGTAGTAGTGGTGCACTTATCCATGGCTTGCCTCCTTTCGGGAACAGTAAACCTGCTGCCTCCATCGCAGGCGATGATGATGATGATCATCATCATGACAACGTTGTCTCAGGTGCTACTCCTTCCCTTCTCCAAGACATGATTGATTCTTTGTCTTCCGCCACTGGATTTGTGGCCACTAATTCCTTCGATGATCTCGCATTTGGTGGTGGCATCTTGAACACAAAGAAGATAGATGGGAGTTCCATCAACGAATCATTCTCGAAAACAACGACGACAAACGCTACAACTCAGCAGAGTGAAGGCCTGACAAGAGATTTCTTGGGTCTTACAGCTTTCTCTCATGCCGATATTCTCGACATCACTGGTCCCAGTACTTACTGCATCGACACTTCGGATGAGCAACGCGACCAGTCTCAAAAACCATGGCAAGGTTAGGTAATATGCCAACTTTTCTTTCTTTCTTTTTTTAATTTCAATTTCTTTTCAAACATATCTTAAATTTTATAATCTCTTGCCACCATCTTTCTAAAGGGAAGAACCTCTAAAGTTACTGATATATAATGTAAGATCTTGATATTCATTTATGATTAGCCCATCATGCTAATTCGGCCTTTTTGTTTAAATATAATGTTAGAATATTCTAGTTTTACATATTATTTATAAATGCTGACCTGCGAAGGAAACCTATTTTTTTTTACAAATTCTAAATCTAATTCTAATCCTATCCGATAAGATATGAAGGAAAGAAAATGCTTCTAGATAATGTAGAATCTATGACCTAAAAAAATATTAAAATAAAGATTAATTGTTTGACCAATAAATGTTATTATTATTAGGAACTTTAAGATAAATAATATATATAAAGCCAAATATTATTTTTCTGAAACGTCAAAACCATATATATTTAATAGTTAGTGGTCGATGTTTAATACTCCCTCTATACCATAAAATACGTTCATTATTGACTTTTTTTTCTTCAATTTTTTAAACTTGAACTGGTTATTATTTAAAAATTTGTAATTTCTAAAAAAGATATCTTAAAAACCTTTAATCAAGTAATTTTCAAATATATATTTTATGAAATTTAATTTTTAAAATATTTAAAATAATCATGATCAAAATTTTTTAAAAAAATTAATTTTTAAAAGATCAATAAAAGACATTTTTATGAGATGGTGAGTATATAAAATCAGCTTCCAAAGGGGAAAAAAAGAAGCAAGGTCACGATGAATATGACATTGAATTAGTGGCTTTAGTCTTCTAATTTAATCATATTAATTAGGTGTTCTTTCAATTCGCAAGTGCCTTGTAAATTGTAACTAATAAACTAATGACAATTTAGTTCATAAGTTAATATTATTATTTTTAAATATTTAATCAATGATTGGGTTAGCGTTTTTTTCGAGAGAAGATTGTGTTTATATTTTTATTTGTTATGATTGAGTTTAAGATAAATTAGTTGAACCAAATCATAATAAATATGAAATCAAACTAGGATCTAATTATACTAAATCATATATAATAAAATAAATACTAGATGAGGAATTGTACTTGACTTAATTTATAGGTTGAAATCTTTGAGTCTTTCTTTGGTTGTGATCTTTCAAGAAGAAAGAGTTTCTGTATAAACTCACTGATGGAGATAAGTATAAATACGAGATTGTCTATTTCTTGAGGAACATAACCCCTTTGTATACATGAATTAAGAATGTGTTATTTTTTGTACTTATAACTATGCCCCTCATCAAATTAAAAATACAATTTTAATAGTATATACACTATTTTCATGACACCTCTAATAACTTATGACTTTATAATATGAAATCGAAATTTAAATTGATTGATTAAATCATCTCTTTAAAAAGTTATACCATCGGAATGCCCTATTTTCGAACTAAAACTTCAACAATTTGTACGATATAAACATGGCTTATCTTTGCCATGAAACATCTACGGAACTCCTCTCCATTTCCCCTCTTTTCAGTACAATGGGTAAACGACACATCTCATAACTTGATTTTATCGTTTTGATAATTAAAATTATTTTTTTAACTTTTTAAATCATAAATTATGAGATTACACAACATATCAAAACGATATCATTTTGAACCCTTATAAAAAGTTAAAAAATAATCTCTTATTTTTCTCTTTTATTATTTCTTTCTTCTTCTTTTTTTTTTTTTATTTTCTCTCCCTCCATTTGGTCAATCCACTTTTTTACCGTCACTTGCGATGAGTCCCAAAATTTTACGTAAAACTCACTTTATCCTCCTGAACACGAATTTAATGCTTATTTAACTAAAAAAATCCAAACTCGTTTTGATACAATGCTTAAATTAAGTAGATTCTTTCTTCGCTTATATATAAGAAGATACATTCTGAAGTATATTCAAACTCACATTCTATTGTATGTTACAACAATGACCTTATAATTAAATAAGTTTTTTTTTAATAAAATTATAAATTGAAGCCAAACTTTAAAATATATATTCAGTCCTAATTATAAATTTATATTTGTTCCTCACTGAGCCAAAAATTAAATATCACAAAACTTTTAGTATCGATGTAGTTTCTTTACAAATATTTGACATTTTACTATAAGACAAGTTTTTTCTTACCATTTTAATATTTACGCTAAAGTGAAAATTTTCCACTAGAAGTAAACTCATGATGCTCCCACTAGCCATGTCCATACTCATGGTGATCCCCAAATCCTTAGATCTCACTTTTGATTATCTTTAAAATTAACAATATACTCTGTCTGTCTCTCTCTCTCTCTCTCTCATTTGCTGAATTCTAACGACGTGAATATATATATATATATATACACACACAAAAGTTAATTCATAATAAGGGACGAGCAAGTGGGAAGACTTTTTCCCCTCCCAATAATAGTTTATCATTGATCCATGTGAGTGTAAGTGGGGGGGACTCGTAAGTTTATATATAAATTTTTTACCATTCCATCAAGAATAATTTATTGAATGAATTTTGATAAAAAAATATTTTCTTACATACATTATTTTTGTTCATTCACATGTGAGTGGGGAAAAATAAAATCTTTATATATATATATATATATATATTGAAGTGAATGTAGTATATATTTATGTTTTAAACAAAACATTTATATTGTCAACTAAATACCATCCTTGGGGTAAATAAAAGTGATTAATGTCAAAGAGATGCATATATAGTAGAATATTTTTCAAATAATGTCAATGTGCTATGCTTTTGTATAAATAAATCTTCTCAGCAAATATATATTTAAAGCATATAAAAAATTATAATTATAATAAATTATTATCTTTATACGTCATTGAATATCTTTGATAATAGTATCAAATTCACAAGATTTAAAAACCTAATGTTATAAATGAACTTAGATCCATATTAATTATTCTATTTATAAATTTGAACTCCAATGGTTTCTCCCTTGTGAATATAGCAATGAGACTAAAAAAGTTCATTAATAATTACCCAAAAGTTGAACAATAATGCTAAAGAAAGGGATATCATGGTAGTGCATTACTCTTATTATTCCAAGAGAGAGAGAGAAAACCTTTTTTGTTGTTGTTGCTTTTTCCTTTTGTCCCTGAAGAACTTTTGCAATAGAGGGTAGTTGTTGATATGATTAAGCTATCATAAGAACAGTGATTGTAACCTTTACAATAATAGAGGACTGTGGCCTGTGGGAGGAAAGATGCATGTTGATATGTTAGGTCAATTTAAACATATGTACGAGCTCACTTTGATAGTGCCAACGGAACCTGTCTTTTCATTTTTGTTTAGAAAAAAATTTATAATATATAAAAGAAAAAAATCCCCACTTTGCATGCATGTTCATCCCTTTCTTTATGTGTCTCTCTCCCACGTGTAGAGAAAATTAAAGATTAATAATAAATGTTGGAGTGAGCAATTTTTGCCCACTTTCTTTTTAACATCCATGATCGGTTTAAAAGAATGGCATGTTTTGTCATTTGCACACATGGAGTCCTCGCTTGGGGCGATAATAATATCATTGTAGAAGGAAATGGTATTATGATAGTATGGGCAAGGGATGAGGTTTGCATGGTGGGATAAAAGCACAAACCCCTAATCCCATGTGTGATGTCTCCTACTTTTTGTCAATAAAGTGATTAAAATTATACACGTATGTTAGATATGCATACGAGAAAAGTTGGTAATAATGGAAGATGTGATCGGGTAGGTAGAAAAGATGATGTTGTTTTGAGTATTTCCATGGCGTGGGGGATTGAAGCATATGATTACGAGTAGTAAAAAAGAAACACCTAGTTGACTTGTCCCTGTAAACATAATCCCTCTGTGTTTTAATTATTAGTATGTACTGCATGTATGCCCTTTTATCTTTGACTTGTCTTCAACTTCCACCCTTTTCACCTCTTCATAAAATCCCTCGCTTTTCCCCCTCTGGATTTTGCTCCCTTATTAGTTATAAACAATAGTAATAACTAGTAAATGTGGTGTGTTTTCTACAGTTTAATTACTGTATTTATCAAACAAAATATTACTGTAATTCTTTTTGGTTTTATATAGCTTTAACAAAAAGACAAAAAAAAACTCGTCTCACGATTTGGAAGTGGACCCAGGCCCCAATTGGTGGCCCATATCACGATGTATGTGTTTTTCTATGGAAAGGCTCAAATACACGATTTTCACGATGTTAGAACTCAAAACAATTTCGAAATATATATATATATACACACATACTGTGTTGTGCTCGTTTTAAGAGGAACTACTTGACATTGTTTCCATTTCCCAGAGGGAATGTGCATTTGGGTATGAGAGACATTCACAATTGAACTTAAAGATCAATATAGCTTAATTCAAATGCAACGTGCTGGTTTTCTTATTTCAACTGATTTCAAAAAGCAAACTCGGAAATGACCAAAAATAGAATTCCAAGCATAGCCATCTGCTCTTGACAAGCTCCAATGAGCAGCCAACTATGCTACCTACAATACAAATGTCTACAAGCTGCTGAAAGAAAGACCAAAAAAGGCATATCATTTTGGAGGTTGCTTAGACCCATCACTTGGGTCCTGTTTCGATCCTGTCATTGCAGCAGATGCTGCCACGGTCATGGCAGCTGCGGCTGCACCCAGCTTAGCACCGCCGGCAGCCTTCATTGCCCCAGCTAATTTAGCAAAAACAGCTATCCCTCCAACAAGAAAAGCCCTCAATGCTACTGTTGGTTTCACAGCCATATTTTTGTCAAAGAATCTGCAAATTTTACAATTCGACAAAAATTCAAACGTCTATTCTCATTCGAAGAAGTATATACATCAAAACTGTTAATAAATCCGGTTAATCTAACCCGTAAAACTTTCATGCTTGCTACCTTATCATGCATTAAATGATTGACGGATAGAAGATAACAAAAAATTTTGATTGGCTGCCTGAATTCCGAACAGTCTAATCTTTTACTTCACCCCCCCCCCAAGATTGAAATTTTCACAAGTTTACACATTCCCACTACAAATGTCAACCAAAGCAACAGGAATTGAAACATCATGTATCCCGGACTGGTACGTGAGATTACAGATTTTAAACTTGAACAGCAATGTTTAATGAGACCAAATAAGCCATACGACTGAAATAATCTGCCAGATTGTTAAACATGATGAAGATCAAGAATTCCTAGATACAACCATTCATCTAAGTACAGTTATAGTTCGACTCACATCTAAAGCACCTTGACTCTAGAATCTAGATTAGAATTTTGCTGACTAATAAACAAGAAAGCCTACTTAACTAAGGAAAAATGGTAACTATTAAATATGGACAGCTTTTTCCTCCTTGATTTCTGATCCATAGGACTAAGCATTCAACAAACCTACAAGCATAACTGAATATGAAACAATCAATCCCATATAGGAAAAATCTCTTCCAATTCTTCATTTTTAACTTATTCCAGACTTCAGTTCTAAAGCCTTGAAAGCACTTAACAGCAAAACCTAGCTGCAGGTTCTAGACACACAACTTCCATAGAACATTCTTAGGATTTCCAATTCTCATAGGCAAGTTTTCAACAATCTAACAAAAGAAGCAAATCAATCTAAATCACGAAAACTACAACTTATCTTTTCTCAAAATTTATACAAGAACTGCAAGCGGTTACATATTTTTCTCATAAGGAACACAAATCCTTAAAAAATAAATAGAATTTGATTCCAAAGGAAAAAGGCAGTTCTGGTTAAGAATCCATTTTCTCAAAATCAAATCAACTGTAATGCCCACTTATCCCCAAGCCAGCTAAAGAATTTTACTTTCCTACCTTCTGTTTCCTCTTCACCATCAAACGCTAGATTAAAGGGAAATATAAACAATAAAAGAAAAGATAAATAACCGCAGACCATATAATAGGCAAGGCAACACAAGAAAAAGGAGAATCGGAACCTTAAACTTCACGGAGAAAAATCTTTTCGATTGAGTCCCTCTGCCAATAATCTGGAGAGTGTAATAAGAGAGATGAAGGGAAAATATCGTGATAAATATATATACTATTGAAGAGTGACCTGTTATTTGTATAAATGGTAAACGACACGCAAGGTCATATAATTATAGGTTTAATAATAAATAGGTCATTTTCTTTTGAAATTTACAAATACATCATTCAATTAAAAAGTTATTACAAATATATCACTAACATTAATAAATTTAGATATTCTATTAGTTTTATTCTAATTCAAAATAAGTTAATAAATTTAATTTTTCACACTTAAAATTTTCACTATTTTATTTTTCTAAATTATTTATTTTTCTTCTAAAAGTATTGTATTATTTTATATTTACTTTTCAGATATGACAATTATTTATCACTAATTTATTATTGTTTATGACTGAATACATTTATTCAACAATAATTTTTAATTTATCGATTTTTTTTGAAATTATAAAAAGTTAATTTATTAAATTGGTTTTAATTAAAATAAAATCATTAAAATATATAAATTATAGAGATAAAACGTTTTATATTACATAACATTATATGTTCGTTTTAATTTTAATAAAAATATTTATTGATAAATTGTTTTTTTTTTTTTTTGAAAAAAATTGATAGGTAGATTATTAAATCAATAATTATTTGATCATAAGTGTAATTTATCTTTAGGGGAAAATGTCATGTTTACGACATGTTTTCCATTATGCGTACCAAACTAGGTAGAATGTCATTGTGAAATGGTCTAATATCATCTCCAGTTCTCATCTTTACTCTACAACATCTCTATCTCTACTCTAAAGATGAAACAATAATTCATCTCGAGCACTATCTCTACATTATCATCAACTCTACTTTATTCATAATATTTAACTATTATAATATTGATTTTACAAATATAAAATAAAACATATACATTTCTAATAAATATCAAGATAAAAAACATAAATAAAACATTCATAAATAACATTACGAAAATACAAATAAATAAGAAAATTACATTTCATAATAATAATGCAAAAAAACATAAGTTACATAACTATATATTTTAATTCTCGGAAGTAGAATATTCATTCCAAAAATGTTCAATTAGTGCATTTCAAAAAATTAGTATGTTTATTTATCTAATTTCAATGTATTATTATCAATCTTGCAAATTAATCTACTTGAATTTAAAAAAATCAGAAAAAATACAAAAAATTACAAAAATTACAAAAATTATATATTTAATTTTAATATATTTTTATCTATCTTGTAATTTAATATACTTGAATTTAAAAAAAATAAAAAGAAAATTGTAACGCATAGTACCGCGCCAGATGTATATGTAAAGGGAAAGAAGCGAACTTAAGCTGATAATGTATGCAGTATACCTTGGCTGCTATTGGTGTGATTGTCCGAGGTCACCGTGGACTCGTCGTGGAGGTACCTGCACGTAACCTGAGTGTGTACATCACTCATAAATGAATCGAAGAAAGGTGATGGGTAGAGGTAACCTTCCGTCCGAAAATTTAAAATTACAATAAATTTTAGATTTTTCTTATGTATCTTATTAATAAAAAATTGTTCTGACAATTCCTATAATTTTACAAATTCCTTTTATATTCATTCCACTTTAATTTTACAAGTTCCTCTTATATTCATTTCTTAATATAAAATCTTACCTTCGTCCCTGTAACACAGTGCAGAATCCATGGAAGCACTGGCCTTCTGTCATTTGCAATTGAAAACGGGTGGGAGGGTACTATAATTGAAGGAACCAATAAAATTGAAACTAGACTCGGATTTAAAATCTAAACCAATAAAATTGAAGTTATTCCAACACCTCAAAGTAAGAAAATCTGAGTTAAAAAATTTACTTGTTTTTTTAATCAAATAAGTCCTGATCACCACTGCTTCCAAGGATACCAGGGATCCAAAGATCCATTAAACAGCCCAAAAATGTAATCCATTGTAACATAGGAAAACCGGGGAAAGGAAAGGAACCAGAGCTGCAATAAAGAACTCAACTGTTTTTCTTTGAACACCAAGAATTGCGTGCCCTATTATCTTTTCTTTTATAATTTGATCGCCGTCCTCATGTATTTCTCATAAGAGTTCATCAAAATCGAACCTTGGCTCTCAAACTCAATTTATGTTCTCTGCTATCTTAAGCAGAAATTGTGAAGTAAGCAACTAATCATACAAAGGGACACACTACCTAGTAGTCATTATCTATGTCCGGCATACGACTTGGTGGTTTTTTCTCATCTGGATTTTCCAGGACAGAGGCCTCGGTTGTCGTCAATAGCAATGAAACGCTGTGATCAAAAAGCATGTTTGTTCAGTTAAACTTATAAAACGATCATGTATAAGCACATATTTGTAACTAGAGCTTCACCTGGCAGCATCAACCAAAGCTGTTCTAACTACTTTTAGAGGGTCAATGATTCCAGCTTTCACCATATCCAAATATGTACCTGTTTTAGCACACCAAACAAGATAATGATCAGGGCGGAGGATCTGTGCGTTCCCATAAAAGAAAAGAAGTGGCAGGGTATTTTTCGGAAAAATAAATATGGCATGACAGTGTGTGTGCATATTAAGAAGAATGAGTGCGGTATAACCTGACGAAACTAAGATCAAATTATATGGCTTGAAGCAAGTATTTTCATAAGATTGAAAGGAACAAACCTTTTGAAGCATCAAATCCCAAATTATCATCATCTTGTTCCAGTAGTTTGCCGAGAACCAGAGAGCCATCATAACCAGCATTTGAAGCTATAGTTAAAGTCGGTGCCTAAAGTGCAGTCATAGATACTGTGAGGTACTAAACATGATAATGAGATCAGGAACACATGCATAGAGTTGTCAGAAATAAAACCTTAAGAGCATCTTGAACTATCTGAACGCCTCTTTTTTGGCCTTCATTTTCAGTTTGAAGATTCTGCAAAGCCTTTGTACCATACAAGAGAGCAACACCACCACCTAACAAAAAGACGTTTAATGTTATGACTTGGAGCATTGTCATTTGAAACCCAAGAGGGAGAAGTTCTTCACCTGGCACAATACCCTCCTCCACAGCTGCTCTGGTAGCATTCAAAGCATCTGTGACTCTATCTTTCCTTTCTCCAACTTCTGCCTCACTAGCTCCACCAACCTGAGAAAACAACTAATAAGTACTCACCTTTGACAGCATAAGATGCACATGCCACTTTAACATAGAAATATGAATTATAGACCTTGAAAACAGCTACACCTCCAGATAGTTTCGATAATCGCTCCTGTGCTTTCTCCCTGTCAAACACGGCAGTGCTCTTCTCCATGGCCATCCTCAGCTGTAGATGTTTTCAAGAATCATAATGCCAAAAAAGGAAAGCAGGGATCATAAGAGCACGAATAGATAACAGTTGCATCCCCCACACCCAAACCAAACCCAAAAAACTATTATATAGCACAAGCACATGCATGGTAGCGTATAAATAGAAAGACATTTAAAATGAGTTGAAGCTTTTAGAAAATGAAGAAACAACCAAATAGGGCATCAGAATACGGATACCTCCTCGCATCTTTCTTCAATCAGCTTCTTATCCCCTCCCCCATGTAGAATTATTGTGTAATCAAGTGAGACAGTGATCTGCCAATAATTAGGTCAATTGCAGAAGAAAGAAGAAAATCAGGCATGTTATATAGATACATGCATACCCTTTTTGCAGTACCGAGCATTTCAACTTTGACTTTGTCGAGAGTTAAGCCGCGTTCTTCACTGATAACCTGTAGTTTTGATAGTTAATAATGACTACAAAATTATTAAAGGACAAAACCAGAGCAATGAGAATGTTTTACCTCTCCACCGGTAAGAATGGCAAGGTCATCCAAATTTTCCCGTCTGTTATCCCCAAAACCAGGAGCTTTTATGGCACACACCTAAATACATAAGATTTCACAATTAATAAGGTTGAGGTGTCATATAAAGTATAAAACATCTTGTAATGCATGGAAAAGTAAACTTAAAGCAAAGCCAGAATCTAGACAATTACTTACCTTCAAACCAGCATGATGCTTATTGAGAATAAGTAAAGCAAGTGCATCACTCTCCAAATCCTCAGCCACAAGAAGAAGTGGTCTGCTTTTCTGTTCAAATAGAAGAAGAGAATGAGGTTCACAATGTGCTTCACTTATAATCATAAATGTAAACGAGTCCACAGATGAATTACATTTATAGCCAGCTCCAATATCTTCACAAGCGAGTTAATATCTGAAATTTTCTTGTCATGAATGAGAATCAGGGGATTCTCAAGTTCCTGCCATCATAAAATTGAAGCCTCTTTAAATCAATGCTTTTTTACATGCTTGTGATATTATTACAATCAATAGAGGTTTGTATGCTATATGTAACTGGAAAAAAAGAAGCGAAAAGGTTAAGGAGATAAGACAATTCAAATTTCTATGCTTTTAAAAGTGCAGTCTTTTACATTAGCATGCAAAGCCATGAACTATGCACTATAACCTTTAATATAGCAATAATCTGATCTTCAAATTAATTAAGCAAAGTAAGGGAAATGATTTATGATTTTTCCACGAGGCCCCTCCTCCAAGCTGACAAGTGACAACATCAAAATAAGAGAAACAAAAATAATTTTGAGCATGGGTTTTACATTGGGAACCTCACTTTGGTTCAATGAACAAGTATCCCAATATTTCAGTAAAAAATATTGGAAAAAGGACACAAAGGGCTTACACATTTCTGGGTCTTCTGATCAGTAATAAAGTAGGGAGAGATGTAGCCTCTGCCTAGCTTCATTCCTTCCACCACTTCTAATTCATTGTCTAAAGTATTCCCATCCTAAAATTTAAGGAAAACATTAGATACGCCAAATTAGATGTGGTTTAAGAAGTAATCATTGTTATTCACAATTTTATCACCATTAAAATAATGTTAAAAAAAGAAAATTGGACTTACAGTGACCGTAATGACCCCTTCCTTCCCAACTTTCTCCATTGCTCTTGCTATTAGTTCTCCAATTTCACGTTCCCCATTTGCAGAAATAGTGGCAACCTATTTAAAACATACCAAAAACAATCTAATGCAGAATAAATCAAGGGTATGAGAGATAAAGAGCCACAGATCCCACATCAATAAACCTGTGTAATTTCCTCCGGAGTGCTTATCATTACTGCCCTGCTTTTTAAGTCAGATATGACTGTATCAACTGCCATATTAATTCCTTTTCGCAAGTCCATCACATTTACGCCAGCAGCCAATGACTTGCAGCCTTCCAAAAGAATTGCCTGAGTTAGGACAGTTGCACAGGTTGTACCTGCGAACAGATGCATTATAGTTAATAGATCTTCAGCAATCTATCAGATATTATGGAAGAAATTTCAAAGAAATGTCAATTCCGTAATAAAAACAAAAGGTTTCCTCATGTATCATGCTACAAATACAACTGAACCTATCCATGCTTTGAGCCTGAATGTTATAGAGATTGCTCACTTATTCTATCCACAGATGCCCTGCATATTTAGGATTCTAGATTCTTAACATTGTCAAAGACTTTAAACAAATCTAGGTCATTTATGCCACACTTTCCAGGAATATTTTTGTAACAGCAGGTTCCTATCAAGGACTCTCCAATCCAGATTAACATGGAATGAAGATTGAGGCTTAGTTGACTTGTCTTAAGCATCAATTATTTTGCTGAAAAAAGAGTTACTTTTGGGTACAAGTCTCACTAAACAACTTTCTAACATGAATGTCTTGATCTGAAAACATTGGTACATTTGATTGATCAATGTTCAGCTAAAGCACATTAATGGAACAAGGAAGGAAATAATAGAAATCACCATCTCCAGCCACTTTATTTGTGGCATTTGCAACCTGCTTTACAAGATCTGCACCGACATTTTTAGCCTTATCCTTGAATTTGATGCTTTTGGCAACAGTAACACCATCCTTTGTGACTTTAGGGTAGCCTCGACTACTCTCAATAATTACATTACGGCCCTGAACCAATAAAACAGAATGAATACTATGACAAGGCATAATATTAAGAATGAATTTGAACTCTTGGTCTTCTTTCATGTCTATTACCTTTGGTCCCATTGTGACTCTCACGGCATCTGCAACCTCGGACACACCCTGCAGGATAGCCGCACGTGCCCCAACCCCAAAACTGATATCTTTTGCCACATAATTCCTGTTGCAAATCACCCTACTATAAACCTGTACAATTCAAATTATTAAGCAACCAAAACAAATAAAAGTTAAGATTCATTCATATCAATCAAAACCAAACCCAAATAAACATATATTTTTACTTTTAAGGGAAAAAAAACGAAAACCTTTCTAACTATTTAATGACCCATCTCTAAATTTCCATAGTTACAAAAGTATCTAAAAACACTTATTTACCTAAAGAAAATGCAACTATTTGGTCCTAGAAATTGTCTATTATTTTTCATGTCATTTCTTCTATTTCCCACATTTCCTCACCACACGAACAGAAATCAAAATGAAAGGAAAATCAAGTAAGATATTATGATTTCTTACCAGTTTTCTCGAAGTCGAGGAACTGCCAAAATAAAAGATAAAGATAATTGATCAGATATATAAAATAAATAAATAAACCCATTCACAGGCATTGACATGAACCAAATGTAATCCGTCAGATGCATTACCTAATAGATGAAGCTAATTTTGAAGCTACTCGATACATGAGTGAGATGGGTTTTATTTTACGCAACGAGAATTTAGTAAATAGAGTGATAAAAAGTGAGACTTCAAAGAGAGCTTCCGCTGAGGTTCTTAAGGCTTCCAAGTTAAAAAAAAATAGTAGGGTTTTAGCTGAGTCCGGGGTTTTCGGTCACTTTATCTGAATAACAAACTGGAGATGAAACGATTGAATCCAGATTGTTCTAGATTGAGTCCAATTGGCCACTCTCTAACCCAAATATGAGCTTTTTTTCAATATATATTTTGGGCCTGTTGCTTCTTTAAACTTTTGGAGAACCTAAAATAGCAATCTTTTGCAAATTTTTCATTTCATTAAAGATTAAAATAAAAAATAAGGGTAAATTACATGTTTAGTTCCTAAAGTATTAGTTTTGACCCGTTTTAGTACTTAAACTATCAGCTTTGATCCGTTTTAGTACTTAAACTTTAATTTTTTTCAAAATCATACCTAATGTTTAGTTTTTGTTTCATTTTAGTATCTCGTCGTTACAACCTTTATTTTTTTATTTTAGTACCTTGTTCAAAATTTAATATTAAGTTTTGAAAAAATTGGAAGTTTAAGTATTAAAACGGGCCAAAACTGATAGTTTAGGTACTAAACGATTTAAGTTTATTACGTTGGAGTACTAAAATGAAATGAAAACTAAAAGTTAGGTATGATTTTGAAAAAAAAAAATGAAAGTTTAGGTACTAAAATGAACTAAAACTAATAGTTTAGGTACTAAATGCATAATTTGCTGAAAAATAAATTTAGAAAATGTATATTTGAGCATTATATTTGTTTTTTAATGGTCTTACAAGATGATATATGCTTATAATATTTCTTAATTATTAACAACGCATACACACTCTACACACGTAATTATTCAAACTCATAACATCAAGGAATAACAACTTCTATTTTAACTACTGATGTCACTCGATAGATTCGAATATTATATATACTAAGATTAAAATATTTGATTAATTTAATATTGCAATTTAAGTAATATTAACTCGACCGTTGGTATTTTTTACTCCCTCCGTCTCATAAAAATATTTCTTATTAATTTTTTAAAAATCAAAATTTTCAAATTTTAACCATGGTTATTTTTAAATAATTAATTTTTATAAATTATATATTTAAAAACTACTTGATTTGGAAAATTTTAAAATATATTTTTACATATTTGTATCAGTAATAAAATTTAAATAACAATTAACTAAAATTTTAAAAAAAATTAATAGTTGACATATTTTAGGGAACAAAAGGAGTATATTAATCGCTAACCGTCGATTTTCCTTGATTTTCTTAGTAAACTTAAAAGAAAGACTACTACCCATCCATCAAATAATTGTGTATACATCAAACTATTTTTGTGATCCGCATGTTATATTGAACATTTTTTCCATTTTGTTCCCTGAAAGGCCTTCTTTCCAGGAAATGCTAACTAAGATTTGAGAATTGAGATTGAGGCCGTACACCTAAAAAATAATTAAAAATACCCCACCGACGCTCATATTGTATGAATTATATCACTACAACAAAATTTCTTATTAGTGGCATCTAGGTTATTGTCATTAAAACTTCAATTTATGTCACTAGATGTATTTTGTAACGTAAAAGTCAATGTCACGATGATCGTCACCCTAGGTGTGTCACTAAATGTCAAAAGTGACGATGTATGTGTTATCGTCATGTATTGTTAAATATATAGTGATGCTAATAGATAACGTCACAGTTTAATTTGCATTCAGTGACAATTACTTTTGTCACCAAATGATGTACATTTTCGTCATTAATAAATCATATCGTCATCAACACCACAATAATTTCATTGTATACGTGACGAAAATAAAATTGTCACATTGTTAGTAACGTAGTATATCGTCACCTAATAGTAGCATGGATGACATTTATATATAACGTCACTATATAATTAATATTCAATGACAACTAATTATGTCACTAAATTATGTAAAATTTCGTTATTAATGATTTATATAATCACGAATAATACATTAAAATCAACCTATATGTGACGAAAGAGATATTGTCATATTTTTAGTGACATAATATAAATGTTACCTAATAATATTATGAATGACGTTTATGCATAACGTCACTTTATAATTTATATTCTATGACAGTTGGTTACGTCACTAAATTAAATAAGATTTCATTATTGATAATTTATATTGTCACAAATAATGCATTAAAATCAACTTATATGTGACGAATGAGATATTGTAGCAAAACACAAATAATTTATATTCTATGACATTTTTTAATGACAATATATATTAAAATAAAATTATTTATACAAATTTAAATAAAAAATAAAATAGTTCACTTATTGCAAAATAATAAGATTTAAACAAATATTTCACTAAATACATAATAATTTCATTTCTATAAATATAAAAATGTTTACAGAAAATAAAAATAATATGATAATAATATGACTTGTAGAATATTTCGTTGTAACAATCTCAATCCAAACCTTGAGTCGATTGTGATTCTGTTGATGTTGAGTTTGTGGTATCATTTGAAGCTACAAATTAAGATAATCAATATTAGTTACTACAATTAATATTATATATAATAATTTTTATTTGATTAACTATATTGTTTACCTGAAAATTGAAGTGATGGCACTTGAATTTTCAATTGTTGTATCTGGATCAATTTCTTCATGTGTTTGGTTTGGAGCACCAGTAACTTGTTGAGGTTCAGATTATTGGGTTCGATTTAGTTTACCAGAGACTTTTTGAGTTTCATTTTCTTGTGTTCCAATCCTTTTACGAGATACTTTGCCTGGTGTCATCCTAAAACATATAGAAAAACTATTATAAATACTTTCACCAGCTTTTGCAATCGATTGCTCTTAGATATTAGAGGGAAATGCAAAGACGCATTAAACCGCAACCAAAATCATCAATTATTATAGCACAGCTGCTCTCCACTGGCAGAGCATTCTACAACTTAATTCATAAACACAACAGTTCGGTTACACTGAGAGAATGATTCATTTGCAATTCAACTACATTAATAATTATGCTAAATTACAGAATTTTGAAAACTTACACTGAAATGATGCTAATAACAATATTTTCAATCAGTTTAAATGGAAATGTAAATAAATTAACATAAACAAAAAGAATGATATAAATTCAAAATTCACAAACACATGCACCTAAAGGAAGCATAAATACATAGCAGAGTTTGAGAATACCTTGTGAAGGTGAAATTTTACATCATAAACATTTATTTATTAAATAAAGAATTATCAATGTGAAAAGGAAACAAGACATGCACAGGTTTTTGAATGAGTTTTCCAATCAAATTGCACAATATCGAATAATAAAAGCAGCAACGTTTAGCAAAATTTAAGAAAAACTAACAATTATTTTGTAAAAAGCAGCAGCGTTTAGCAAAATTTAAAAGAAAAAACTAACAATTATTTTGTAAAAAACATCAGCGTTTAACAAAAAATCAGAAATCGAATAATAAAACTAACCCTAAACCATATGAATTCATTAATATCGAAAAAACCATATTTAACAACGAAGAAAATAAATTTAAAAGAAAACAAACAATTACCTTTAAATTAAAGTTGGAGAAACCTTTGTACTATTGTAATATGAATCAAAACAAAAATAATTATAAAAATAATAAAACTATAAAGCAAAATTATCTCAATATAGAATATAGTGTAGACACCCGTTTTGTCCGGGATTTTTATTGTTATTATTTTTATTTTATTAATTATTAAATATTAAATATTAATTTGGTGATGTGTGGCACATACTCTTTATGTTTGTGTAAGTGCGGGTTGTACCTCCCTCTACTATATAAGTTGCAATTGTCCAAGGTGCTCCGACAAAACCCAGCACTGCTGCATGATCTCCAACCTCCTGGCGCAAAATCTTAAGGGACTCCCCAACAAAATGTAGTTTCTCCAAGTCAATAGGATGCAATGCCTTCAAGCAATCCTCAGAGTGCATCGGTGAATGAATGACAGGACCCCTTACTTCTTCAATGTTAAACGGGACACCGAATGCAGGCAGTGGAGTAAGAATATCAGAGAAAATTATAACTCCATCAGGACGGAAAGTTTCCCAAGGCTGCAAAGAAATTTCCACAATGAGATCAGTTGTCTCATACCTCTCTCTGAAGGACGGATGTTTCTCTGCAAGCTTTCTGTAAACAGCCATATACCTTCCTGCCTGGTGCATCATCCATGCAAGAGGCCGACTTACAGGATCTCCTCTTGCAGCTTTAACCAACAATGGATCAGTAGTAGAAGAAGAGCAAGCTACTGAGAACTTCTTAATTCTCATTCTTTTAGGAGAAAAAACAAAAGCTCCAGGGAAATTACTAGTTTCATTTGAGTTAAAACCCAACCGCACTGTCAAGCTTGAGGATTTAACTCCCACGGAACTGCAAGCACTTGCTAGTGAAAAGCAGCTCCAAGAAGGGAGACTTAAAAGAAAGAAAATGGGGAAGTGGGTTGTGTAGAGAGTGAACGGCGGCAGAGGGTTATTAAAAATGAAGTGTGGGTTTATATTAAACCTAATTAAATTTTATTAAAATACTTCACATGTTGTCGTTTAGGGATAGAATCAGCCCATTTTTCTTTATTTGGGTTAATCATTATAAGGGTCATGTCCATGTTTAAAGTAACACATTTTGGTCCTCATTTCAAGGCTTTTTCTTTTTTAAATTTGTGAATCTAGCCCCTTAGTTTTCGTTGAATTTTATTTTAGTCATTAGTGCCTTTTATTATGTTTCCTTTCTTTTACATTTAAAATCTTTTATTATTAAAATATATTTTTTTATTCATGGTTTTGATATTATTTAAAGATTAATTATTAAAATAGTAATAATTTAAAATAGTAAAAAGATTTCTCTTTAGAAATTTTAAAATTATAAAATAATTGAAGTAAATACTATTTTTAACAATTTCATAATAAATAATTACTCCAATGCAAAGTTTGATT